AGAAAAAGCACCACGGGGGATCAATGACACCTCACAGACTGTCTCTTAGCCCAGGTTGGGGGGGTGAAGATGCTGGCAGGCAATCCTGCTGAAGAAGCACTGCAGATAACACCACGGAACAAATGCCTAGTTATTACGGAGCTCCTTGGAGCTGGCGAAATTCAGCATTGCAAAGCTACTGCAATGTCATGTATCACTGCTTGTCATTGCAAGGTGTCTTTTATAGGGCAGCGGGCTGGCAAACGGTACAGCTTATGAAGGAAGGCGAGATCTGCAGAGAGGTATTTCATCACAGCATCAGTTCCTCTTGTGTCTTTCCTTCAATAAACAGGAAAACGCTAGCTGTATCATGCAAACATCACTGGTTTGCCATCAGTCTCTGCCACCTCTCTCTTGTAGATGCCCGGATTTTAGTCCCTATACTGCTCAGCTCAGGCCTGGCATGCTTGTGATCGTCAGGGTGCAGTGGTCCAGAGATGGAGGGGGGGCTTCACTAAGAGCCAGAGCTGCAGCTTTGCCTCAGCTGGGTGGGAGAGGCAAGGAAAAAAAAAAAAAAAAACGCTTGAAATTCATTTAAGGCACCGCAGGCCTTTGGAAGTGTTCAGCACCACGGTCAGGACTCAGGCTGCTTTCCACTTCTCTTTTTCTTTCCCTCAGACCCGCTTTCATCTCCCTAATTGTCAGGAACACAATGATGGCTGGGTGCCACCGGATGAGCACACTGAACTGCAGTAGCGGAGGGAGTGATCTGTCCGTGCCAAATATATTTCATGCTGCAACTCGGCGGAGGAAATTACAAACACTGAAGTCCAAGGCCCTAACAGTCCAATTTTCTCCCCTGATTGCCACTGTGCCTAAGCCTAACAGAGTAAATAGTGAACACCGATGCAATGAACTTCCCAATAAATGGCTCCTGATGAATTTCACATAGGTCATCCAAAAGCAAATTTAATGATTATATGCTGGCCACAGCTACCTCAATTTTTTTTCCTGGCCTAGTTGTTAGATCCAATCAGCAAAGGAAGGAACAGAAAATAAAATAAAAAGCTTCATTTCTGAGCACGCTCCCCATTTGATGCAAAAAAGGTAAAACCTGAACTGCAGGGCACAGCCAGCGCCAGCTCCAGCTTGGATTGACAAGATGGCTTTGCCCAGTAATGAGAGAGCAGGCCTGGTACTCCGGGGACCATGAGGCTGCTCCTGTCTGCCTGCATGGCCTGGAGCACAACATTTGACTTCCCTGCAGCTCAGCGTCCTTTGGAGTTGATCGTCCATCTCTCCTATTTTGAGTGTAAACTCTTCAGGGCAGACCACCCCTTGCTGTACACATACACAGTGGTGGAAATGTTCCCCCCCCCCCACCCCCCCCATCACTTGTTGTCCAAGAGCAGTAAGAGCGACATTACTGGGATGGTAATTTCCTCTTGGCAGTTCTCCCCTGCTCCCTGAGTGCCCTCCCCTTTATTGCAATGTGCCATATTGAAAATGAAATTTGCAATTATGACTTGTGCTAATAAAATAAAAGCGCAGTCAATAAAAGGCAAAAGGAGAGGCTCAGTGGAACGACTTCTCTGTAAAAAGTTTGCAGCCAGTGCTGTCTCTGAACAGCTGTGTTCATCACATATATGACAACTTAAGAGACTGAGGAGACCCATACCACAATTTCCCCAGGGCTTACATATATATTTTGATATACATCAGCATACACACATATATATTTGTTTGTGTATGGATATTTGTCAAACAGGCAGGTTACCTTAAGAGGATGTCAAAGGGGCAGAGGCACTCAGGAGATGAAGAGCTGGCAATTGATACACAACTGGAAGAAGCAGAAGCAATTTCCTCTGCCTTCCACTTCTACTATTGTGTCTGGCACAGGCTTCAAAATAGTGGGATAATTAAAACCCAGTAAAGATTACGATGCTGTAAAGAGGAAATTGTGAAACCCTCATGAACTTTTACAGCCCCCATGAAAATATTTCATTTTGCGGTCTGGAGGAGTATTTCCTTGTCTCCTTAAGCACCAAAGGGCCACATCCATGTAACGATTACTCGCTAACTGCTGGCAGAGCTGACAGCATTTCATGTTGCATTACGACACCAAATCTCTAGCCTTGTCCATAAACCATTGTGTCTCTGCAGGATCGAGTCAGCAACGCAAAATCACTGCAGGCAAGAACTGGTGCAGAGAGCAGAAGAGGAGACGGATGTTACCTGTGGTCTCCTAAGCAGGTACCAGACTGTGCATCTGGTCCCTCGCGAAGTGGGGTGAGTCGTGCTACGCAGCTGTGCAGAGCTCAAATCTAAGCTGGGGAGGCTTTGCTTGCATGGTTGGCAAAACCCTCACGTGGTTTGTTCCGTTTGGGAAGCAACCTTTTGCTGTGAATGTGTCACAAGTGCCCTTCCCGTGTGAGTTTGTGTGACTGGCTTCCACAGGTGTCTGTAGGTTGGGATGGAGAAAGAGCTACCAGAAAACAAAAGGCTGAAGAAAAGTAAATGCTGAGAAAGTAGTGTGTGAAAGTTTCTCAAGGGCTGATAAGCTCAGGGGCCCAGTGGTTCTGTTGAATCCACAAGAACTGATAAACACAGGACACCCAGAGCCGCTCGAATCTGTGCAAGACCATGAGTGCACGCTAGCATCAACAACGGGCTGTGTGATTTGGACCATACCCAGCAGCTTGGTGGCTGCTAAATGGAGAAGATGACTATCGGCTTATATTGATGCCCAATGAAACAACACATCCTTGGAAGGACTTTCCAAACCCCTACTTAGAAACCACTGGTGTGTCAGTACTAACCTCTACTTCCAACCATCTTTGGGGTTGGCCTCCCAACTGTGGCTCCAAATGGATAATTGTGAGTGAATAAGCACGCGTGTGAACTATGCGAGAGGATAAGCCAACATGTTGTCTGAATAGTTATTTACTATTAAATATAACAGCTTGATTCTACTAATAATAACAACTTAATGAACAAAAGATGTCCCCAGAACATTGGTTGTGATCTGCATCTTCCCCCTACCCATTCGATCCTCTATTTGCAAACGGGAATTTGCAACAAATGCCAACACACCAGGCAGACCTCCTGCGAGGGAACTCATTTGTTGCAGGCAGGCTTGGGGCCAAAATAGCCCCTCATTGCTCATATTGTCCAGGTGTGTTACAGCAAGTGGGTTGCTACCCTGCCATTAGTGCTATCTGGAAATGCATGCACAGTGGGAAACATGCTGGGAGCTGGTTTAGCAAACAAAGCATGACTGTACACTACAGAGGACGGGCCTGCTGACTGTTTAGAGCTCTCTGTTGGAAAGCAGCACAGTTGCTGATCTGAAAAAGACACACAACTGGGTGCATTGCCTAAATACGAGCTATCTGGAGACCTCTACCCTTCAAAAACATTACCTCCACTGTGTACGTTATACCTCTGAACCACCTATTTGCAAGAAAGCACGGTGCATTCAAGCACAACCATTCAGGGAAAACAAAATCAGTAACGATTTGCTAGGGCTAATGAGGATTATTTTTGGCAGCATCTTCTTGTGATGCAGTGAGAAAGCCTGTGCAGAATATGCCAACAGGTGGCTAAGTAAGGTGCTCGTGGTCTGGATTCCTACAAACCACATGCTCAGGCATTTTTCCATGGCCTCAGGCAAACATCACTCCCTTTTCGCTCTTAGTCTGACCACTGAAAAATATACAGAGAATAATATTAGTTTTCCATGTAAAGGTTTGGAAACGATTGAGCGTCAAAGAGCTTGAGGAGAGAGATGCCAGCTAGTTATATGCTACTGTTACCCCAATTGCAAAACCTTTTCTTTCCTCTACACCAAGGTAAGTTCCTGCATGTCACTGCCCTTTCTCTCTCATGGCCATGGAGATGTGTTTGTGCATGCAGTCCAGCAAATTCCTTATTACATCTCAGGACACAGCACACTGCAGATCTGTGGTGTGATGGACAGTGGGAGGTGCAGTTCAAAGAAGAATCTTTAAAATAACTTGTTCTAGAAGAAAAGACAGTCCTGAGATTGAAATTTTATTGATTTCATGCGATGTGTCATGGCACCCACCAGCACAGCTGCTCAGTGGGCGGAAAACATGGACTGCAAAGCTTGAGATTAGCCATGTAAAGACGAGGCAGAGCCTCAGATCATTAAGTAATTGTTTTAAGGACAAAAAGAATCAAAAATAGTCTGCCTTTAGCCCACACTAGCCCAGTTTGAATTCAAAGATCCTCACACATCACCTCTATACCTCAATAAATCTAAATCACTGTCTTCCATGTACCAAGCACTTTCTTTTCCATCCTCCCATCTCTGGATAAGGGAACAGCCTGCCTTAACGGCATCCTGGCTGCAGTGCATCTCGGATACCAGGGCAGGTGACTCGCAGGTGTGACCCTGGCAACCTCCTGTATCATCATACACCTTACTGTGACAGCGCTCTCCAGTCTCACCCATGTTGCTCTGTCACTGCTTTTTTCCCACTGCCAAAGGACTTGATGAGCGAGGAGCTCCTCTTTAGGGAGAGAGCTTCAGTGTACGAGGTAAGGCCTAGGATTTAGAGCTGCTAGATATCTGAGCATACTACTTCAAAAGACCTTAGATGGACACAAATAGGAAGTAGAAGGAACTTGGCTTATTTAGCTTAAAGGTTGAAGGGGGATAAACATAATGTCTGCAAATATAACAGGGAAGAGAAGGAACTATTGTAGTTAATGACCAATACTTGCAGAGAAAAACTAGGTTCATAAATAAAATCAGACTTGAAGTCAGATTCTTAACAACTAGAACTACCGGGTTCTGCTTTCAATATGGAGGCTGGGAAGTTTCTTGCCCAGTTGGCCTGTGGTAGGTGCTTAGATTGAAGGATTCAGAAGATCACTTCCATTCTGATGTAACGGCAGAGGACACCATATGAGTTTGGACCTGGAAGGGAATCTTTTCAAGTGACAAAAATACCATGAGAGTAACAATTCTCAAAAATAACACAAGAGCCTTTGAGGAGTCTTCAAGCATTCTTTAATTCTGCAGTTTCAAGATTGATGCACAAGCAGTTGTACAGATCAGAGAGAACCTATCTTAGGATATGAAACCCAGCTGGGTTAGCAGTTTACCCTAAAAATGTAAGTCAGTGCAGCGTATTCTTGATTTTGAGGGTTGGCATAAACTCATCAGCCTCAGTGAACAGTCAAGGCAGGGCCGAAATGAGGACTGAAGCAGCGGTGATGAGCTTGCCTCACACTGCAGAGCTGGGATCTGCTCTCCTACTGCCCTCCTTGATCATTAGTGCTGAGCTACATTAGCCCATGTATTCTTCCAGTACATCTAATGACAATTAGGATTAGTATCTTTTGAGCTGGGGAAGGCTCAAAAGATATATTCAGAAAAACAGAATTAAGTTCTGCTATTGTATTTGCAATTTTTACATCTACCATCATCCAGCACAGTATGAGCTAGAGAACTGATGCCATACAGCTCTGTCATAGTGAAAAAAACAGAAGTGGCAACAAATGGTCCCATGTTACCTGCTACTATGTGAACTGGTTTATCACTATCCAAAGGACTGAACAACTAGATCTCTTTACAGTGGAAACAGCAGAAAAATAAATGCACCTACAACTGTCACCGAGAATAGTACTGGCAGAGCTGAAACAGGCTTCCCATGCAACACCACCATTGAAACAGCCTCAAAACCATCAAGGTACCAATGGATCTGCACTTGAGAATCACGGTGCCTTTTACTTTAGTGTGGTTTGAACTTCCGCTGAAGACCTTGGACTAACCCAGTACGAATTCTTCTCTTTACCCGGCCCGCCAGAGACAGCAGCTCGCCTCAAATCTCAAGGCAAAACAGCAGCAGCAGAGCAAAGCCAAGCACCCCACCCCATCGCCACCAGGATGACGGTTCCTCCTGCAATGCCATCACTCTTGGGAGAACATGTCAAGGAAGCATTGCATGATTACACATTGAAACCCCCAAAACAACCCCGAAATCAAATCCCAGATGGCACTTCCCTTCCCGCTAGTATGCCACCGAGAAGATACGTGCTTTTGCCATTAACTATAACAGAAATGCTGAGCCTAGGACCTGCAGCCTGACGGCTCCTGCTGCTTGGTAAAGACAAGCGATGGAGCAGATTACACAGTGGTGATTTTCTTGTCCTTGGTGGCCTGTTTGATAGCAGCTTGCTCACAAATGATCTCTTTCAGCCGCTGCAGCCTCATGTTCTGGGTGGTTTGGTCTCCGACACCAGTCTGGCTCCGGTGCAGTAAGTTCAGGGCATAGATGTATTCCAGCTCTGTGTACTTCACCCCTTGATCCACCACGAGGTTTAAGAGCTCGTCGGCTGTGTTGTAGAGCATCTCATAATACTGCCTGAAAAGCAAGCAAACAAAACAAACCACTCTGGTGAGTACCGGTGCTTGAGGCTCCAGCCCCTCATTTCCGTACAATATTATCAACTATTACTTTTTATTCAGCAGTGGCATGAACCGAGAATGCTGTGTCAGGCGCTGTACAAGGAGAGCATGAAGATATGGTACACTCTCCCTGCTCTCCCCACTCCTCCACACTCGGCTAAAACACAGACTACAGGGAACTGAGGGATCCTCTTCCCTAGTAGCTAGTGTCAGCCAAGATGTTACCGCTAGGTAACCAACATGTAGATGGCACTACATGAACAAATACAGATATATGCATGGGATAATGTGCAGGTGTTTATCTAGTCATTCAGCTCGTAAGGACAGGAGTCTTCAGGAAAGAAAAGCAGTCAAACGGTTAAGGGGAGCAGAGCTTTGTCCTCAACAAACCCCTCTTGCAGAGAGATGCTAACATGAAGCATGGAAGAGCTCCAAGCCCAAAACTCCAGAGACAGCCAACGCTACTGAAACACATGCTGTCTGAGAGAAAAATACGAAATAACGTAAAATAAAATTTGAGCCAGGGGCCTAGGTGCCTCTTTTAATAAGTAAAAAATCATCTGAGGTGATAGCATAATAAAGAGGCTGCAGAACAGGCTGGTTTAAATTAATGCTAAGTGGCAGGAGTGAACGGATGCATTTCCAAGGAAGGGAATTTAAACGACGACTTAATACAAGAGGAGGTGTACTACTGGGCCAGGGAAGGAGTGGGGCAATTCACAGAATCACAGAATTGTTTAGGTTGGAAGGGACCTCTGGAGACCATCTAGTCCAACCTCCCTGCTCAAGCAGGGTCACCTAGAGCATATTGCCCAGGATCACATCCAGATGGGTTTTGAAAATCTCCAGCGAAGGAGACTCCACTACCTCTCTGGGCAACCTGTTCCAATGCTCTGTCACCCTCACAGTGAAGAAGTTTTTTCTCAGGTTCAGATGGAACTTCCTGTGGTTCAGTTTGTGCCCGTTGCCTCTCGTCCTGTTGCTGGGCACCACAGAGAAGAGTCTGGCCCCATCCTCTTGACACCCTCCCTTCAGATACTTGTACACATTGATGAGATCCCCTCTTGGTCTTCTCTTCTCCAGGCTCAACAGGCCCAGTTCTCTTAGCCTTTCTTCAGAGGAGAGATGCTCCAGTCCCCTACTCATCTTGGTAGCCCTCCGCTGGACTCTCTCCAGGAGTGCCATGTCTCTCTTGTACTGGGGAGCCCAGAACTGGACACAGTACTCCAGGTGAGGCCTCACCAGGGCTGAGTAGAG